TTCTACATTGATTTTTTTAGTCATTCATACTATGATCATTTTTCTGTTGCTGTTGGTTCCTTCAGTGTAGGCTTCTTACCATGTAGTCCATCCCCTCACCACAGTTTGTCACCACACAGAGAAGGCCCAAAGCTTTAGCCAGATCTTTGGTGGACTCTGTCTTTCCTGTGCCAGCTGGTCCAGCAGGAGCTCCACCCAGGTACATGGACAAGGCCTGCATCACAAACAGACACATTCACACATCCTGTGATTTAACCAGAATGATCTTATTGTCTGAGTTTGGGAGTTTTATTAAGTAGTTTGGTAGATAAACATTAGCAAGGCTTTTCAAACCTGTGTGAGTGTGAGGTAGATTCTGTCCGTCAGTGGGGTTATAACCAGTCGACCGTTCAACCCCATGTATTCATAGCCGTAAGAGAAGGACGCGCTGCACTGACGCACAAACAGGTTGTCGTGTTCTTTGATCCAGTAGAATCTAAGCTGGCTTTCCCACTCAAACTCCCGCACGTCCATTATGCTGGAAAGAAAATAACACTTCAATGTAACGAGGTGCACTCGCAAATGTAATAAAAGCAGTTAGAATTGGTGACATGTTTACCTGTTCAGTACAAAGCTGTCGACAATATCTCGTGCGTGGACATCAATGATGAGCACAGTGTTTATTTTCCGTCTGTCGTTACTCTTCATGGGTTGGGTGATGCGTTTCACCAGCTCATCAATCTGCTTGTGCATCTTCTTGGCGCAGTTCTTCAGCGCATGCTTGTCTCCTTTCTTCACGTTCTGAAAGACGTCCTCTACCTCCCAGGTCCACCACACTTGATTTGCAGCCAGCACCACCATGCCCTGGTACAGCAGCATCCAGTCCACCCTAAGAGAGACGAGAAGGAACAAATGGAACGAGGATCACTTACACGCCAAGACATCTGCAAAGTTGTAAACCTTTAGAAGATACACACACACACCTGCTCCTGTCTTCACAGTAACGGAAGACTGCTTCCTTGGTAATGAGTCTATTCGTTCTCCTCATCTCAAGTAGCACCCCCGTCATCCACTCCTCCAACCGACCCTCCACTTGGACGGGCTTCTTCAGCTCCATCACCTCACCCTCAGCAGACACCATGGCTCCAGCTACCGTTTCCCCATTGCTCTCCACATCAAACCTCAGAGATGCTATGTTGTCATACATCTTTTGGATCAAACAAAAAATAAAATGAATAATGAAGGATAATGTTTCACACAAGCGTTTCCTCCTCCCTCCTCCTCCTCTCTGTTACCTTAATCATGTGCTCCTGGACACAGGTGTGGTCACTGCTTCCCAGAATGCTGAGCAGTTCATCGTCAGAGATGAAGAAGAAGCGAGGAAAGGCGTTCCGCTTAGAGTCCAGGTAGTCGTTCAGACTCTTCTGGCACCTCTCTAGACCGTCGCTAAGGTTCTGCAGGTCTGTCAACCGGTTGGGAACTAAGCAACTCCTCTTAATGTTTGGACCCTTCACTGTGTCAATCATTATCTACGTGAAAAATGAAGAAGTCAAAGTGATGATGAGGTGTCATGTCACAGAGAGATTTTGGTTTCATCAGGAATAATCATTGCAACACTCACTTCTTTAAATCTTTTGTCAATATCATCAAATTTCTTGGCTTCCTCGGGTAACTGCGAGCGAATGTCTCCACCGATGAAAATGCTCTCCAGGTACATCCATTTCCGTTGTACCAGCAACCAAACCTGTTCAAGAGTTATATTTCAGTGAGGATTGTATCATCAGCTTCATTGTAGTGTGACTGTTCTTTAAGCGTTACATTAACGCCCACTGGATTTTAAAAATGTATCTTCCTTACATGCACTCTGTGTGTAGTTACACACACTAAGATTTTTTTTTTCTCATAGTCTACTGCACAGCTCCTACATTGCACCTTTTGTATATTTTTATTTTAATTTTTTTTTTTTTTATTTGTATTTTTATTTATTTAATTTTTAATTTTTTTTTTTTTTTTTTCTCATAGTCCACTGCACAGCTCCTACATTGCACCTTTTGTACATTTTGTGTTTTTTATTTTTATTTTTTATATTTGATATTACATAGCTTCTTAATCTGTATTATTTAAGTTGTTGCTAGTTCTGCTTTATTTCCTTGTTAATTGTTTAGCACCATACACCAAGTCAAATTCCTTGTATGTGTAAATGTACTTGGCAATAAATCCCGATTCTGATTCTGATTCTAATTCTGATATCACGTACTTCTATAGTCTCACTGATAAGAGACAGGTCTTTTTCCCATTGTTGGATGGTCCCGAGGAAAGGTCCGACAAAGCGGCTGCCCGCCATGCTCTGCAGGTTCATGGCATCGTTGTCCACATTCAGGAGGATCTCATCCACTACACCCAGGATCGAGCCACGTTCCTGGGTGCCTTTAAAATAAGGCACGACATTGAACTTCATGTTCTCCCAGGTCTCCACCACCTCTCTCACCCCCTGGAAGCACCACACACACACACACACACACCACACACACACACACACACACACACACACACACACACACACACACACACACACAGACACACACACACACACACACACACAGAAACAAGGTTTTACAGTTGTACATAACTTCACTGATATAACTCATGCTTGATATTATTATGAGATGATTCACAAAGACAGGAGCTTGCCTTCTCAATACTGAGCTCTTTTACAGCTGAGGTAACGATGTCACCTATCACATTTGCATATTTGTTTAACTCCATAGCAAACATGTTCTCCAGAGTGAAGCTTTCAGTGTTCATCTCAAAGCTCGTTCCGGTCCTTTCCATCAGTTCCTTCCAGTGTCTTCAGCCAAAAATATTTAAAAAAACATGTTCATTCAACATTCAACATTTTTCATTTTATCTTGATGTCATGATTATATTCTTATATTTATAACCTAGCCAACAAACACTTGTGATGTCTCCTCTACTTTAAATGACCTTTTTGTTGTTTTTAGGTGTCTGATTTGTTCCAGTCAGGTTCTGGTGTAGACTGACCTGTCTCTGAGGGCCTCGTTCTTCAGGTCCAGCAGAAGAGGCAGAGACTCTCTGAACTCCTTCAAGTGTCCTTCCAGGAAGAAGGCCACAGGTAACGCCCGCACTTCTTTAGGCAGCTGCCTCAATCTTTTGATGAAACCCTCGACACCCTCTTGTAGCAGCTGGATGTTTAAATCCACCCACAAGGTCTGAGACCACTCTGTCTTTGCATCCTGGAGGATTACCAAAAAGAACACATTATGACTCTATGTGATCACAGTGTCCACATCTTGAATTGAATCTGACAGCTGCCACATCTCACCTGCTGAGCTCTAAAGACATCATATATCAGTCTCAAGCCTGCCATGTCCTTCTGCATGCTGACAATCTCTGGGTACACAGTGACCTGTAGGTCCAGCAGCTTCTCGGCATTAGCTAGTTCCTGGCGCTCTGACACAACCTTGGCAAGGTCTGCCTCGTATGTTCCCAAAATGGACAGTCCTGCAAAAGACAAAAGAGAGAGACTGGTTCCTTTGCTTTAAGTATTAAAACCATGTAAGCATAATTATTATAGGGAATGTACGAACTAAGGGCGGGGTTACGGTGCACAGGTACCTTTCTCCAAATTATCTCCGACAGCTCCGGGACCATGCATGTTGAAGCTCTCAGCAAAGATGGACAACTCTGTCTGAAACTCTGTAATCTTCTCATTTGTCATCTTTGAGAGATAATGGGGGGAAATCAGAGCTGGAACTGTGATTTGTTTTTTAAACATGCTTTAGTGTCTGTTCAAGCAGGATGTGTTGGTTTGATGTCTTACCTTAGTGAATGATTTCTTGACATTTGTCAGACTTCTGTCCACCTGTCTGGATTCTGTAAAGAGATCACTCCACACCTGGCTAATATTGGCAGCAAGTTCCAGTTCATCCTCTCCAACCTGAACCAGTAAATAAAGCACATCATTTGTTGTTAGAGCCATAGAGGACAAATATAATTTGCCAATTAGTATAATTTTGTATTTATATGTTTATAATTAATAGAGTTTTTGCTTTTGAATTTTAGAATTAATTAACATTTTAACAGAGGTTTTCTTTTAGTAAACGCGTGATATTTATAAAAGCTTATTTTGTAAACTGCAATTCTTTTTTGAGGAATAAATCGTAATTTTTTTGTCACTTTAAATCTGCCTTCTTTCATCTTTGGATTACTTAAAAATGTGTCTTTTGGAAAGTAGCCTACGAGTCAGAAACTTCTAGTCCTGCAAGAAGTGGCAAGAGGATTTTTGTTTGAGTTGCCGCTACATTTGTATTAAAGGAAATATGATGAACGTGAATAAGTAAAACATACAGTACCTGAACTTTGTACATGGCCAGGGTTCTGTATTTCTCCCTGATGTCATTATATCTCATCTCCACATCCAGAGACATGTCCCTGATGTCTGAGATGGTGCTCAGGACAGACTTCAGATCTTCAAATGTGTCCGGGCTCTGCTGAAGCTTTTCAGAGAGTTCCTGTTGGGTAAAAAAAACAAAGATAAGGATTAACCACTTTGAAAAAATACCAATCATATGACACAGACAGTGTATAATGATTCGGTACCATGAGTTCATCTCTTAAGTTGAAGAGATCCTCTTTGGTCGGTTTGTGGAGCAGGCCGCCGAGTGAACTGATCCAGGAATCAGCATTCTCACGCACAGAGAGGATGAGAGGCTCCAGGTTCACATGGAAGATGTGCTCCAGCTTAAACGTCGGCTCCAGCAACACGTCCTGGTTGATGCTCGACAGGAACTGCAGCTTATCGTCGTACATGACGCAGGGTGTGTTCTTTGCGGCAAACTTTTCATTGACAATGGTTTTGTTCTTCTTCCAAAGGCGCAGGTAGCGTTTCCAGTGGGTCAGGTAGCGATCCACAGAGAAGAGCAGCCGCTGGATGTTCGCCGACACTCTCATGGTGCTCTCGTTGATCTGAGGATGCTGCCACACGTCGTTGTAGAAGCTGAAAGTCACCGTCTCGTCCTCGCCGGCTACACGTTGCGGAGGGCACTCAATGCAGGTGCCGAGCATCCAACGCACAAAATGCTGTAAAATGGCAGAGTCAAGTTAAGTTGTCAGCTTGGATATTTCTTTTATTTTTTTTAAATGCATTGATACCGTAGGAAATCCTGGTGACCCCACCTTGGTGCTCTCTATACAGTCTCCGACACACTGCATGAGCAGCCAGTAGATCTCATTGCTTTGGGGCTGAAGCACAATAGTAGGTGCAGACACGATGGCGTCAACTTGGAAAAGAGGGGAATTACTCATGAGCGCCGTGTTGAACGCCTGAATGTTCCTAAATGTGACAGGAGAGAAGTAACAACGGTTAGCATGAGTTGTGAGTGATCAACGTTAAAACCCTGACATCATAAATCTACCTCAGCATCATCTTGACAAGGGAGTCCATCACTCTGCGCTCCCAGTACTTGTAGTAAGCTGCCATACGTTTGGCTTTGCCACTGCTGGTTCCAAAGATCATATGTTCCGTCTCAGTGACGAGGGGTCCGATGGCAGAATACTTCCTGCTCAACATATTCACAGTCACGGCCCGTGTCTTCTCAATGCGCTCACAGAACTCCTTGACACCTTAAAATTCATTCAGTAAAGGAAATACGTTTAAATGCTTTAGATCTTTTTTTGAGCTTTTTGTGCCTTAATTGGAGAGACAGAACAGCAAGAAGAGTCAAGAAACAGTGAGAGAGAGAGAGAGAGAGAGAGAGAGAGAGAGAGAGAGAGAGAGAGAGAGAGAGAGAGAGAGTGGGGAATGATGTGCGGGAAAAGGAGCCACAGGTCAGATTCAAACAGGGCTGCCTGCTTTAAGAACCACAGCCTCTGTACATGGTGCTTGCTAACCAACCACTCATCAAACTGCGCCCATAAGTTTGAATTCTTGCACATGAAAGATCTTAATCATATCTTACTACTTGGCTCTACCTGGTAAATCCTTTGGGTTTTCTGGAACCGGACATTTCAGTAAGTTGGCCATCACCATGAATTGCAACTTGGACTCGATGTCCCGCTCATTCTTGTGAATCTGTTGGACAACTGACTCCAGTTTAGAGACAGCCTTGACTCCTCGATTGATGAAATCCGGGACACCTAAAAAACCCAAACGATATGTGATTTAAAAATCACAGACGAGATATATCATCATCAGACTAAAAAGATTAAAAAGCCTCTCTGCAGTACACCTTACCAGAGGAATACCAGTTAAGTCTGACACATCCACGTAGTAGCTCCTCTGTCGCCTCTTTGATCTGCACATGTAGCATAGCATGCTTTTCCCCGCTCAGGCTGTCCATCACAGAGTGGTAGCTGCTGACCAGGTTGATTAGATCATATTCATACCTAAAGACAAGAAACGGGTCAGACCAGAGGTTACATAGACCGGTTGGATTTGAGGTTTTGGTACAAAGAATGATTATTACCTTATGAATTTGTTCTCCTGTAGTGAAACGTTCTGAGCCAGAAAAGGCACAGATAGGCCCAGTGACACCAGGTGATTTGTTTCAGAAATGATTTGCTTTATCTCAGGAGGAAGGCATACAGCAAATCGCACAACCTTCACTTGGACACTTTCGGTTAGTGGGACATCCTTTAAATCAAAGCACAAAAAATGGTGACTAAGAATCATTTGTGTATCCGACATATTGAGAAACGGAGACTTACTTGTTTTGCCTGGGTCTGGTTATCACTGGTGCTCCTAACCATCAGTGATTTTTTCATGAGCAAAGGCAGGTTGGTTTGCGTCTCACCCAACCAGTCGTTATACTTCTTCATCTCATACTCCCTCGTCTTCATCGCCATTTCCACATATTTTTCTTTGACCTAGAGAGATACAGCAAAAAGTAACAACAACAATTGAAAGGAAATAATGACGGTATCAAAACAAGTTAAATATACACGATCCTATAAAGCTGTGAAACAGTGATGCTACTCACAACTTTGCCCTGAACGCTATCAGCCATCTCTGGCTCTTGAACGAATGGAAGGATGGTGTGTTTGAGGCGGTGGATAAGAGATCGCACCCATCTGATGGCGCCCGCCACGGGAGGCTCGCTGTTATTTAACGGTGGCTGGTCCTTCTGTGCCTCGAAGATTTCATTTATACTCTCCACCTAAAACAAAAGAAAGAGAGATCTTCACATTCTTTAGAGTGCGGTGGAAAACCACACCAGATATTAAGTAACGGTCAATAACTAAATGTTGAGGCAGTTTAACTTAGTTTACCTCTTCACGGTACTGAGCCAGGATGTCATTACACTTTGTGATCAAATGGTTGTTGATGACCTCTCTGGAGCAGATTTTTCTGAATTTCAAGAGCATGTCAAAGGCAACAGCTGAGGAGCGCAATGTTCTGAAAGACTGATCGATGAGCTCGATGGCCTGTCCCTCTATAGCCTGAGCAGACACATGACAGAGGGTGAATCAGCTCAGTGAACTGAACAGCACATTTTACTGGAGCAAACAGACACACACACAATCATTCAATCAATCAATCAATCAAACTTTATTTATACAGCACCTTGCAGACAAATTAAATTGCAGTTGAAAGTGCTTTACAAGAGTGCAGAAAGGTAGTTTATAAAATTATTGAGAGACTAATGCACACCAATAAGAATTAAAAAAAATATAAAAATGAAAAAATAAAATACGACACATAAAAGCAACAAGATATTAAAATGAATACATAGGAGAAGAATATTTAAAATTGTAGTAGGATTAAGACAAAACAATAATGTTAAGATTTGATTTTATATGAAGCACTATATAAAGGCCAGACTGAATAAATGAGTTTCAATATTATTGACTGATTAACTGTTTAGTTTTTCAGAATCCACATGCTTGCTTGATGTTCTGAACTCACCTGAACTGTGCTGTCAAACTCCTGCATGATCGTCTTCCAGCTGCCCATCTTAAAAACATTGAAGGGATTGAAGCTGGCGCTCTCCAGAGGCAAAACCAGACGGTCTACACTGCACAGCACTTCGTCGATGCTTTTGGGGTCTCCGGTCACAGCTTTAAGCTCGGGGCCAAAGATGTTATAGAACTCCTCTAAAATCTGCACAAAACACAAATCCAGTAATACTTTCACAATCAGTTATCACGTAAGAGGTCAGCAGTAACCAATGTTATAAACACTGACCTTTAAAACATTGTGCAGGTCCTGGCACACAGCAGCTATGTAATCAGTCTTTTCAAACAGCCTCTTGCGGTCAAATTCCCAGCGCGGATCTCTGCTGGATTCTTCGATTTCAGCGCGGACCTGAAAGTAGGATGACCTCCACTGGTCCATAACCCGCTTCGCATCACACACCTTGGATTTAGCCTCGTCTCTATTTTCCCTGTTGTTAAAGGCAGAACCCAACCTTAAGCTATACCCAAAAACATTGTAGTATAATCAATGACTGCAGCTGACTATTATCAAAAGATGACAATATTAAATTAAAGTCTTTATATGTGATTTTTCACTCTTAAATATAATATAAATCAAGTATATCCTCTGAAAATAACTCTGTGAGTCATGACTGTCTACAATGGGTGTAACACCCGAGTCCCACTGTCTGTGATGTTTTCAGAGTTTTCAGAGTCCTATCTTCACTTTGTTTACATCGCCAGGACGGCCGGCTGACTCCTCCCCTCGTGTATAAAAGTTGTTTAATTGAGGGACTAGAGAAAAGAAGAATAACATACTGTACTCACTGCTTAACTGTGTTTCTAGATCACGCTCATTTCAGGTAAATTTACATGCAGTGTGAAGATACCAGCATAATAAAGATCGCTAGCATTAGCATGCTAACACAACAATGCAGCGCAAGTTGTTTTGGTTTCATGCTGGTGCTCAAGGGCGACGTCTGCTGGATCAAAAAATCACATATAAAGCCTTTAACTTCCTCAGTCCAGCTTATTGTTTGCCACTTTTATCTTCACCACAACCCTAACTTTCCAAACATATCTTCATGCCCAGGTTGATGACTATCTGGAGATCTCTTTAATTTAAAAAAGGCTGATCTCAAGTACAAATTATTGTATACTTTAAAAGCTCATCATCACTTGCCAAGATTATAACAAAACGGGAGGATGAATTAGGAGAGGACCTTTTGAACTGAGCTCTACACTCAAAAGCATGCTGGCCAAAATATCCTCTCAATCAGATGCTAGCTTTGACAGGTGTCATGTCGTGCTCTGGCAACTGTGTTTGTTGCTTAAAATGAAAGTTTAAGCATTGTATCCATTTCATTCTGTAAGTCAACATTTCCAAATAAAAAATTGTGAATAATTAAAATCCATTTTAAATCTGAAGCTCAGACGTGAAATGTTAATGTAAGCACACGTACTTGAACAGTGTTTTCACATTGATTGCTTTATCCACGCGGTCACAAAGCTGCCAGGCGATGCGCTCCATCAGAGGCACCATGCGATCATTTGTGTTGAAGTGGCAGGAGATTATCCACACGATCTGCAGGCTCTCCATCAGGTCGGGAATTGTCTCCAGGATCACATTAAAATTGGCTCCACTAGCCAGATTCTACAAACAGACAGCAGACTTTGCATTGTAAACTGAGACAAGTGAGAAATAAATAACACATAGCAGTCGTGTCGTTTTATTGAAGTTCACCTTGAAGTGTCTCTCCAGAGTGCTGAGGAAGCGTAAATTATCCTCTGCCTCCACACAGTATTTAGTGAGCTCGGCTACTGTTCCTTCCAGGGTCTGAACAACACCTGCTTCTGCTTTGGTCGTCACCTCCAGGATCTTATCCACCACAGGCTGTTTGAGCTGCTCGCTCAGAGCGCTCAGGATGATCGCACGCTCCTGCCAGAAGTATATCTCCGCCAAAGGGCCGGGTGCCTGAAGGATAATCAGAAGCAAATGTTCCTCTCTGCTCTTTGGATCTCACTGTGCATGTTTTTATGCTTTCTTCCACTTAATAATTTAAACTGACAGGGTTTAAAATTCCATTTCAACATTTCAGGAAGCAGCAACGTTCCATGTGAATCACACATGGAAACCTCAGAGTCCTCCAGCAGAAACACAAACCTGTGGCTTTTTGTTCAGCTGCTCCTCAACAATAATGGTGATGTGAGTCTGCCAGTTCATCACACATTGTTCTAACTTCTCCACCATCTCTGGATTAGAAAGTAGTACGTCCACCTTGGCTTCCAGGTCCAGCTCAGGGATGTGCAGTTTAATCTCCTCTGTGAGGAAGACACAGATCTTAAGATGGACTGTTTAATATAAAAAGCTCATTTGGAATAAAATAAATCATGTAAAATAAGAATTAATTGTATATTTTAAGTTTATTTCACTCGTGTATGCACCAATTTCATCCCCTAAAAGTTGTGTTTTGTGATCATTTTGTCATCCTTATGAAGCCGTTTCATATCCAGAGCAATTTTTTCAACAGCAGTTTAAAGCAAATCAAAATCCGATCAAAGCAGGACAGCTGTTAATATCCCCAAAATAAAAAACATCAAATGGGGAATTCCAAGGACCTGCTGCTGGTGTGGTCATTAAACTTGACGAGTTGCCTAAATTAAAAAAAACAACGAGACCTTCTTATATCTTGAAAAACAAACCTTGACTCTGAAGTTGTGTGAGAGTCGTGTTGATCAGCCCCAGATACTTGTGTGCACGGTTGAGCAACTCATCACGAACTGTGAGTTGTCCGCTCGATTCCTCTCGGCTCTCCTTTTCAGCCGCTGGACTCAACTCCTTATGAGGAGAACCTGTTCTGCTTTGATAACCTGCACCGGTGATCTTCATCTGGTGGGAAGTCAGCAAGGATATATACACCTAGAAAGAGAAACAGTGAAACTATGCTCCCATTTTTTTTTATTTAGAAAATCTCTGATATGGATGTGTGAGATGGTGAAACTTTTCTGCAGATGTTACATTGATTTTCTTCCCCTCTGACTGTCAGTGGTTTCTTTTGTTTTTTTCTGTGAATTGATTGTTCTTACATGGGCAAATTTTTGCTGCAGCACACGAAGAGGGTGTCCGTTCTGCATGCCGATGTCGAAAAGCTTGGGCATCATGACTCCGGCCTCGCTCATGTCTAGTGGTTCAACGATGGTCTCTGTTCAAAAACACAAATAAAGTTCTCTTGGTTAAGTCTTCCATTGTGTAACCAATGCTTAAAACAGCTTGATTGTGATGATGTGTTGCATTCATCTCACGCTTTGTATTCCTGAGGAAGTAGAAGACTCGAGACTGCAGAAATCTCTCTGGATATTCGTCAACTGCTGCATGAAGCTCGACATGATAGACCACTTGAACCTCCACCCTCTGAAAACACCAAACAAGACATGGATTAAAGAACAGAGTTTTCACAACTCTAATACAGAATCATTAACAGGGGGTGGGTCTAGACTTTTTTTTGACAGGGGGTAGCCCAATTTGGGCACTGACTAATGCAGGGTGTGGCCTGAAGTGTGATGTGAGTAAACACACACATCAGTAAACATCAGTTATTTACCCTTTGTAACTTCACCAATCATATCTACCTTATAACACAAGATGCTGCAACATATATATCCTTAGCTTAAAGGCTTTATATGTGATTTTTTGATCCAGCAGATGTCGCCCTTGAGCACCAGCATGAAACCAAAACAACTGGCGCTGCATTGTTGTGTTAGCATGCTAATGCTAGTGATCTTTATTATGCTGGTATCTTTACACTGCATGTAAATTTACCTGAAATGAGCGTGATCTAGAAACACAGTTAAGCAGTGAGTACAGTATGTTATTCTTCTTTTCTCTAGTCCCTCAATTAAACAACTTTTATACACGAGGGGAGGAGTCAGCCGGCCGTCCGGGCGATGTAAACAAAGTGAACTCTGAAAACATCACAGACAGTGGGACTCGGGTGTTACACCCATTGTAGACAGTCATGACTCACAGAGTTATTTTCAGAGGATATACTTGATTTATATTATATTTAAGAGTGAAAAATCACATATAAAGACTTTAATTCTATAATGACTCAAAAAGATGTGTTCAAAGTCACGATTTAGTCAGGAAGTAGGCTACTCAAAAAATTGCATGCAAACTCCTGCACGACTTGTAAAAATACATTTTGAAATGTGTGGTCCTGAAACATTACCAGTTAGTTCACATAGTAAGACAGTGTGCATTAAAATACTTTCCTATGCACAGGTCGAAACAGATGTGCAAGTATTTATTTACAGTTTAAAAGTATTTAAAAAAAACATGCTACAGTAGGTTACATTAGTATGTAAAGAAATCTACTAGCAGTCTGTTGTAAAAAAGTGCTTCCTCTGACATGGCAGGTGTTGGGGTGGATGATAAGGCACTCGTCTCACACTACTAAAGACTGATTTCAACAGCTCACCTCATGCGAGCAGAGAACTGTCATCATGATAATATCTATCTCTCCATACTGTAATCTGTTCTGCACATGTTCAATTTACAAATGATCCCTGTACTCATGTTCACTTCATTTGTCTGTCTACTCTCCGTTATATTGAATAGTTTCTGCTGATAATATGTCTACACTCCTGCACTTTAACTTATGTCAATACTGTCCATTTACTACTCTGTTTTTACACATTTACATTTAATCTTTCATATTTAAGACTAGTAATGTTTAGTTAAATCTTGGTTGTATATATTCCCATTCTTAGTTTTGATATTTTTAGTACTTATTTACTTTGTATTTAATATTACATTGTGTTTAAATTTTCTAACATTGTGTTTTTTACTCATATTGTGTGTTTGGACAACCTGCTGCTGTAACGACACAATTTCCCAGTTTGGGATCAATAAAGTAATTCTATTCTATTCTATTCTATTCTAATCTATTCTGTCTATTCTATTCTATTCTAATCTATTCTATTCTTATCTATTTCAGTAAGTCACAATGTTCAGTCCAGAGGGTTCAAATGAAAGGTTAAATCTCACATGGCTCTGATTTAGTTGCTGTGTCTCTTCATCTGAGTGTGACGTCATCTCCCCCCCACTTGGGATCAAGGACTTCTCTTCAGGGTCTTCAGGGTCTTCAGGGTCTTCAGGGTCTTCAGGGTCTCCATCTTCATTTTCTGTGTGTAAACGTTTCAGTAAGATTGACTTGTTTAATTACAAACAGAGGAACAATAATTCAAACACAGTAAATACACAGACATCAGTGAACTTACGGACAGGAATCTGGACTTCAGTCTCCTCCTCTCTGATAGTTTTGAAAAACACAAGACATGACGGAGAGTCTTCGTCGGAGACAACGTTCAGGTAACGGATGATTTTCTCCTCTTCTTCTCCATCTTCACGACTCAGAAGTTCATCAAAACAGTTTGAACCCTCCGGTAACGTGAAACCGGCCGATACGCGCTGACGGATCCACTCCACTCGTAAATCATCGTGGACCATGTTTTCAAATAAATATCTTAATTATCAAAACAACTTCACGTCACTTTCTGTTTAACAAACAAAGCCTTTGAAAAGAGTTCTTCAACATTTCCCTGCTGTAGTTTTAACAACCAGCCTGCTGATGGTGTTGCAGTTTCACGTTGCTGGCAACGGTCATTCGTTTCGCGCTGACGTGCCAGCCGCCGTAGTTAGAAGGAAAGGAGATTTTTATTCCCAGAGTGCAGACTAGGAGGCAGCTGGCCCACCTGGAGCGGTTATTTAAAGTGTTCACGGATCTGAAACCATTCAATATTTGTTGATATTTACATAACTGGAAACTACAGGTTAGAATTATGAATTAGATACTTTTCAGAGTGAAAAATCTACCAAATCTCACCACCACCACCACCACCACCACCACACAACAACAACAACAACAACATCATCTAGAAAAAAGTGTCAAACATCAAATATTTTTTTCCCATTAAAAAATAAATAAAAATCAGTTGTTTATGTGTTTATTTTATTTTTAGTTAATACAGCTAAAAATAGTTTTCATAAGAATTGGCTAGCATTCTTTGTTAATGATTTTATGAAAAAATCTCCATCTTTATTCTAACATCGATGATTCACTTATTCACCCCCCACATATGCTGGTTTGTTAACGCTTGCATGGATGTGCACCGGTTTACTCCTAATGTATTCATTTAAAAAATCATGATTGGCACCTGGTCCATCATTAGGGTGCACTTTGCTGTTTCACATATACTGGATGTTATATCAATATATCATAACCGTGTATCTACATTTGGACATACTATGTAGAGATCAGAAGAGAAATGAATTAGGGAGTGCCCTCAAACATAATTTACTGTTAAGACCATCTCAAAAACTACAACTGCATTCTTTTTCATCTGAATTAATATTGTGTATTTAATCTGTATGGTATTATTCATATGCTTATGTGAGGATCCGTGAAACTAAGGACGTAGACGCATTCACTCCTGCATGGGAAATTTTATTTATTTTTTCTAATGTCAACTGTCCCTATCAGCTAAAGGAATACATTAAATGTGTTTTTAAATGGCCTAATGGCACTGTGCTGCATTCCTACCCAACTAATCACTACATCTAATTACCATTCAACAATCATAATGAAAAAAACATAATAAAACAAAACAAATAGGTGATAAGTTGGAGTGTGTCTGAGCAGTTGTTTCCTTTTTTAAAGGCATAAAAGTCACCTTTCCTTCAGCTACAGATTGAACTATGGAAAAGTTCATTAAATCAAACTCTAGTCTATGAAACTAAGTCATGTGACGCTGAAATCTGCTTAAAATGCAAAACGTCAGTCCATGAAGAAGATCAAACGTCTTGCTGTTGACTTTCATGAAGCTTCTCTTAATCCAGACACCAAACAAACAAGTCAAAGAAATACATTTTATTATTGACATGAGGATGATTTTCTCAAAAGAAGTGAAACATGGAGTGTTTGTCAATGAAAAAGAAAATGTTAAATGAATACCAAGAACAGAAATTACAAACACTTTAAACCAACCCATTGAACTATTCAGTGTTAACAAAAGAGCATTAAGGTGCTGATGAACTATTACTCTACCCAATGAATCAACAACTATCAGTCCAATCATCACATTTCACACCACAGTGTTGCATTGTTAAAACTCGAGACACCGGGGGCTGAGCGTTTTGAAATCTGTGGCGGTTATCTTACTGCAGGAAAAGTGCAAACAATGACAACTAGTGCGTCTACTTCCCTTCTAAAAAATGACCAGCTCCAAACAATACTGACAAATACTTTCAATCTGAAAGTATTCACCTTGGGCCACCACAGATTGAATACGGCCGAACCGTTGTTTTAAATGGGATATTAGATATTTGTATGACAGCTGAGCCAACTACATGAAACGTTTTCCGATTTGCTGGAATGTTAAATTGTAAAGTAATAAGCAGAACCCGAAGGCAACACTGTGAATGCATACCAGTAAAATCATACGCTCTTTACATTCTGATGTAACATTTTAAAATACAATAAATTAAAAAAATGATTCTGTAGAAGTCTATACATCTCATCACACCACCGCCTCCTCCCTCAGTACGGACACGTTTTCCTTTGCAGTGCTTTGGTACCACAAAGACAGAACACAGAAGAGCGGGAAGAAAAGACACGGCGAGCTGACGTTTGGTTGGACTTCTGAAAAAGGCTGTCAGTGCAACAAAGAGTTAGCCAAGGGAATGGAAACATCTGCAGAAGTGAAGCTCAAAGTCACCGAATCAATATTATGTCAAACTTATTCACAGAAATAACTCGACAAAGAAAACAAAGAATTTAAAAAAACCTTAATTTCTTAAAGGAACAGGAAGATATTTTTTTTTTAACTTCTGTCCACCACTTTGAAAAGACATGAGCCTTAAACTGCTTTATTATAATCCAGGCTTCACATTGGTGCCTTCAATGTGCTTATTACTTACCTTTATGCTAATATCCTTTTTGTTTACGCTACCTCCTGGGAGTTGTTGTTCTCCACACGAGACAACTTCTACCAATAAACGACTCATTGAATTTAATTTAGCCTAATACAACATTCTGCAGTGTAGCACTGTACTTATTTTGGTACCAATACTTTTTGATGCATAAATATACATATAGCAATGTTCCCTACATTTAACCTGTACTTTTTGTGTTTTAGCCTCTTTTACACTGGAAAGCTGTTACGCTGCCTCACTGGGGAATCAAGTGGAAATGTGAGGGTGATATTGCTCCTAAGTTAAGCAGGAAGCAGAGATAGTGACAGATTATTTAAAGTCGATTAAAATTGGTGAACTAGCAGAATAAGAAAGATTCTTTCCACCTCCGTAAGGTTGCCAAAGTTTCTGATACTTTGCTATATTTCGTAATCATGTGTCTTAAAGGACATTTATGTATAGTGTTGAAAAGTACTGATAGTTTTGGGACACTACAGATCTTCAGAGATGTTTTAAACTAAAGCCGCTTTGAGAAAACGTCGGAGGTCATTTCAAAGCCACAGGTTGGATAATGCTGACATTTCTTAAGTTCTTTTTAGGTTTCATAAAGATGCAAAAAGTTTCCTTTAAGTCTGTGACATACACACAGAGAGCAGAGGAGGTGACACTGTCTATACAGCATGTTTCATTTTGAAACATTGCCAATGTATTTGTGAAATTAAGACAGTGTTCAGGAGTCTGTTTGCATTTTTTTGCTAATAAAACAAAAAAAAAATCATCCAATATCAAGATCCTCAGGCCCTGTGTCCACACAGCGTTTTCTTCCGGGCAGAAAAGTGCTGACTGTGCATGAAGCGCTGATAAGAAAAGAGCTGCATGTCATCCTGTCTGTTGTCAACAGCCGCTGTATGAGCGACACGGCTACGTTACTTTTTACTCAATGTTATTCATTTGAGAGCAGACACAGCGCAAAGAGGACGTGGGTACAAGACACGATCAAAACTAGGCGGAATATCGTACAATTGGAAAAGAGCGCGGTGACGTCAACGCCTTTTCTGAAAAGTTGAAAGACTTTCAACTGGAAGCGCTCGGTGTAGCCGCACAACAGAGGCAGAGCGCTCGGGGAAAAAGACGCTGTGCGCTGCGTTTTTTCTCCTGGCGGCCGCCTGCTGCTGCTGCGAACGCTCTCCTCATTGAAAACAATTTAAAAAAGAAGCTGGCGCTGAGAAAAAAACATCAGGTGGACACGGGGCACAAGACTTCTATTGTTGCTGTGGTATGGAAACACGTATGGATATCTTTGATTTGAAGTTTAAAATTCAGACATCGTGACAACGCCTCACACCTCTTTTGCTTTCAGAATGCCTCCACAACATCGAAAAATTGAACACATGAAAAGTAGATTGCAAACATCGCTCCATTCAGTGTAAAAAGGAATCAACAAACAATTCTAGTAGCCATGTTGGAAATGTCTGCATAAAAAGAGCTCTTGAAAGTGTTGGTAAGGCAGTATGATTCAGTCCAGAGTCTGTACGGCTCACTACACAAACCCTCTGTATGTGGAAAGATGCTTAACGATTAAAAAAAGAAAATCTCTTGATTAAGTCTTTAGTCATGGCAAGCTGCTTGCTGGATCGGTTTCAGTCCACCACTTCACAGTTTTAGCCGATAGTCCTTCACAGTAAACTGTCGTGCTCCAAGCTGGAGGGCAGCAGGGAGAAGGAGAAGGGGATGAACTTGAATCCACCGCCGCTGTAGAATTTATTCTGAAACTCCACCCTGAGAAAAAGAAAGAAAAAAAAAACACAGCTGATAAAAATACACTGAGATCATTTAAAACACTTTGTTCCTGTTAAACACACAAAGAGAGAATTACCAGTGCAGGCGGAGGGCGTGAAGGAATGCAGACAGACCCTCCATCACCAGGAGGATGGACACAGTGAGAACGGCAAACAGGCCAAACACGGGCACCAGGAACAAAACCCCCCAGGATGCTGTCCATGCGTAGTCCTACTCGCATCACCATGGTCCACAGCACCTCTGATAGCTCTGTGAAAGGAGAGGAGCACAGTCAATAGAGCTGTTGGTGAAGTCTGTTTACAGCCCTGTGTAACGTCTGTCTGCTAGTGAAGGTGTCATTTGTTTCTATAAATGTCTATCCACTACTCTGTGGTATTTAAATGTTTAATCCCATTATTGCCATCATTATTATTTGTCCTTTTATTTCTTTGTTAATATGAGCTGCCTATATACTTTTTTTTATTTTTTAGACTTACTGTAAATGCTTCTATGTATATTTAAAATACAAGACCCATGGGAGGGGGGGAGGGGGGGCTATGAAAACTCCAGGTTTGCAGGGTTGTGTTGTCATCCTCTTCTTTTTATTTTATTTGCATTGTTATTATGAATGAAATAAATAACGGATGTATGAATTACTCCCAAATGAATTTATTGGATAATCTCCACCTGTAAAGGCTTTCAAAATAAAGAAAAAGTTGTTCAAAAAAAAGAAAAGAAAATGCTAATCCAGATAGAGGTTACAAAGCGCTGCTTTAGAAAATAATGTTGTCAAATGCAATACTCAATCTTTGAAGAACTCTGAAAACCGTCCCATTTTATTTTTTCTGGTTTTGTCTTTGATGGTGTTTGTATTGTGTAAAAATAAACTGCTTGTTAAGACTGAATGATTTGTCATGTTTGTCGTGATAAATACAGACTTCTGGGATATGCTTACATTGCAGAAACGATGAACTTGCAATAAATTGCACAGCTCAGAGAATGGGTTATTAAACTTCAGGGAGCCCTTTGATTTTCTCTCATGAACCTTCCTTTAATGAAGCTTCTTTAGAGTGAAATACAGACTTATTATTTGCATGAGTGTGTATGTGTGTGTATTTGTGTTTGTACAGGTTTGAAGGAGTGATTAAGTGCCTCCGTGTTGTAATTCAAAGCGTTATACTCACGGGCATGTGCCAGACTCAGAGCCCAGAGCCTCAGGTAGGACGCCGTGTTTGAAATGCAGCCGAGGCAGTACTCTATTGTGTGGATGGCCTGATGCAGGAACTCATCTCCAAAGTCAAACTGTCACAACGACAAAACACAAAACACAGCTCAGCATCACCGACAGGAGAAGAAGAAAAGAATCACAACTGTTGCTTTGGAGCAGATGTTTTTGCTTTGCTGACCTCCTCTTTTTGCCGCTCTCCACTAACGGAGAGATCGCTGTGACTGCTGCCCTCCTCCATGTCATGAGTCCTCATCAGATAGAGCTCCTCTTCACTGTTACGCCGCACTCGCTCATATCCCTGCAAACAGCCGAATAATCAGATTATTAAGATTACAGTCAGCAGACAAATGTTTTGGAGGAGTCAGACGATGCATTTTCTAATTCCTCACCCTGTACATTCCCAGCCGCTGGCTTCCATTGTGAAGCCAGTAAAGGTAGACGGGTTTCCCCAGGAGTAAGACGGGCACAGTGAGAACAGCAATGACCACGAGGAAAACCTGCAGGCCAGTCTGGAAGAGGCAGAAAAAAAACAATATTGAATCATTCTGACATGTTTGAGCGATATTAGTGTTGTGTTCGCTTCCTCACCTGTCCCGGGTAGAGCGGCTGCACGGCGTCGCCCTGCATGAGGAACATGTTTATGAAGTGGATGAGGATGCTCGGTGCGTGTCTGGAGCTGTCGGCAGAGAAGACCAGCCACTTGTAGAAGATCATGAACACCAGGTAGCCAAAGAGACAGAGCAGGAACAGCAGCTCAGGGAGAAACACCAAGTACAGGTTGTACTTCTTCCTGAAGTATCTGTTTTGATTGACAAAAACAAAAAGCATGATCTTTTATAAAGTCCAACATTCAGGGCTTTACAAAAGGAACAAGAAAGAAATCTGGTACTTACATGTGATTGTAAGTGCTCAGGACGACGCCGAAGCTCATGTGAAAGACTCCCAATATCACCGACATCTTCATCTTATAGGAGTTCAGAAATGTGAGCCCGGTTTGATGCCAAGTTCCAAATCTATGGAGATGACGGATAAATGAAAGATCACTGGGACTTTTCACAATACTGTATCCCTCCGCCTCAGCCAGGTGTTCTGATTACAGTAACATGTAGTTACCTTTACAGCAGACAGTTGTTGCCAACCTTTTTTGGCTTCTCTGACCCCCACTTTGACTTCACTAAACTCTGGCGACCCCAGACATCCAAAACTCAACACAACTAACTATTCGCTAAAATTAAGACTATGTTTTAACCCCACTTAGGCTTTTTTGTGTATTTTATTGAGGACAGGAGGCTGGGGAGATGACAGACAGACAGAGACTCTGCAAGTCTCTCCTTTTGGCTACGGCCCACAGCAGCCTGTATTCAATATATTTTAATATACAATACATTTCTCAAATGTTATTTACAGGTGGATGGTCGTGTTAGCTTGATGCTATCTTATCCAACGTAGCTCGCACCGGAAATACATCACGTGACCTGTAATCTCATATGTTGCTAACGGCATGCTAACAGTCAGATTAGTAGGCCCTCTGCAGTATGTATGGGGTAGTAAGGGGGGAAATAGTAATAGTACACAGCAGTTGGTGGATGGTTTCACTACTCTTTGCTGCTTACAAAAAACTGTTTTATTAAAGCAAACTCACACTCCAGGTTGTGATGTCGTACTTGATAGCTGGAGGCTGCAGGCTGAGTCCTGAATATTGCTTTATTATACAATATGTACTAGTTAAGATGGGTCAAATATTATCTTTAGCAGTGCTTTTAAAGAAATCTAATTGCTTAACCAGTATAAAGAAGCCATCAGTGTTCCTGGAAATGATCTAATTTTACTTTGACCCCAGTGATTCAATAACTCTAAATGTTATTGTACATAGGAAATGTAATGTTTTCAGCAGATAATTACAGCAGCAGCCGACGCGACTGTCATGAACAAACGGCTTTTTTGTAGTTTCTGTTTGAATATCAAAACATTCTGAAATAATATGATTTAAATGTAAAAAGCCTCTGACAAATGTTCTGATATAAAAGTTTCTCCTGTTGGTTAGGGGCTTTTATTAACGCCCATGTGGCCACACACACGCTCTCAAACACACACACATGCACACACACACACACACAATCCTAATCAGCTCCAAACAGCAGCACATTAACATGTTAAAAGTGCATTGCATCAGATTGTTTGTTGCTATGAGCCAACATGCATGAATCAGTATCAGACTTTAAAAAGTGAAACAGACTTGTTGTGCACATGGAGCAGCGAGTGCTAACTCTTTTAGGAAATGAGAAACGGGTTAGCATATTATTTAATTTAAATGATCAATACACACACACTTATTTATGGAAATACTGTAACTGACATCTTAATTGACCCATCTGTCACATAACTGCATTTTACTCATCATGTTACTTCATCATCTTTTGCACTATTCACCACTGCACTGTTTCATATTTAGTCATATAAATATTAGTCTTTTCTTATTCTGTTTATTGTTGATATTTAATGTTGTACCTGTACATAAGAGAGCACAGTTCACCAAAGTTAAATTCCTTGTGTGTGTGTAAGCAAACCTGGACAATAAATCTGATTCTGATTCTGATACAAAAGGAAGTTGTGTAGGTCCTGGTGACACAATATCTAAAGATTTGTTTTCTGTCTATGTTAGGCTCCGTGTCCACATAGTTTTTTTTCCCGGGCAGAAAAGCTAGGCGGACACGGGGCCTGAGTAAGTCAATGAAGACTTTTTAAAATCACAAACTGATAAATCTTTAACACTCATCACTCACTGGGTCGATTCCAAGAGGGTAAGGTCCACGGAAAACATCCGTAACGTTTGGATCGAGAGTGAGAAACCGATTCCCGTGGACATCATCCCACCTGTTAGTCATAACATAAAAGAGTGTGTTAATGTGTGAAACTTCACTGCAATCATCATCTTACAGACGTGTTTTTATTCTCCCTCTTGCTTAGCTGCCACTTATCCCACGCACAAAATATTTCCAATGCAAACAAATCTGTCTTGTTTCAGCATGTTGAATATTCATCTCTGTCATGGAGGGGGGGGGGACGGGGACTGCAGTTTGTGTGCATGATGGGGCTTAGCAGAGTGATACGAGGTAGCACAGAGAAAGAGGCGAAGGGTTCTCTGCACTTGAATGTTCATGTTGCTTACTTTAATAGTTTCTTTATAAATGTATCACCAGTAACATAATTCTTCTGCACATCAGGGCCTGATCCTTTAAAAACAGATACTCACTTCCACACTTTAGCTGTGAACATGGCCTTCACACTCCACCGAGATCCAAAGATGTTCAGGGACTTGGAGAAACAGTCGTTGTAGATCAGGCCAGTGTAGATGGAGAACAGGCCCATCATCAGGGATGATATAACGGCCCTCAAAGAAGGTGTTCCAGATCTGTGAGCACACATTAGATCACTCAGAAACACGTCACACAGACTATATAAAAGACTTAAAGAATGAGTGGAACACAGCTCACCTCATTTCTGGTGTTTTTCAGTTTGCGGTTGTTCTCATAGAGAACCATCCAGAAGGCAAACAGAGCCATGATGACACCATGACCCAGGTCCCGAACATCACAGCGAACAGGAACGGGAAAGTGATGATTGTAAAGGAGCTTCAAATGAGACGGAGAACATTTTTTACATGGAGCACATTTCAAAATAAAACATTAAAAAAAGCAGAACAGAGTCCGCTACATGATGCAATAATGAGAATTTTTGCTTTTATGTCAATGCTATGTGTAGTTCGACATGTTCACAATATGAACAAAGGAGCGGAGAAGAACAGAAAACATAATGCAGCAGTTTCATTACATGCATAGAGATCTTATCGGTCACTTTCATACAGTCTATGGTCATGTGCCGGTTGCAGGAAATAAACGTCACCAGCCCCTCCCACTCACTTGTGGTGAATTCTTCTGATATGACCTGCTGTGTTCTCACATTAACTCAAGGGGGGCTGGCAGCAGAAAGTTTGAGTAAAGTGAGTGTAAAATGTGCCTGTTTGCATTCAAACATGCAGCTCAACCCGAAAAACTAAAGGAACTTTTCAGGAGTTTTGTGCATGTGTGAAAGCACTTTTATAACACAGTTGCAGGCCGGACATGTCTCACAAGCTGTAAACTAAACATTGTTGACATCCTGCATGTGTTATCACAAAAGGACATTTTGTAAAAACTTGTGAATATTGCTGTTATGTCTTTGACATGGATTCAAAAGTAATTTTGCATAAACAATCGTCTTAATGCAGATTTTACATTTGGAGTATGATGCATGTGTAAACACATAGAAGGGAGAAAGACTGAGGATCCCACTCACCAGGGTTAACCTCCCTGTAGTTTCCCACTCCGTAGGCATCCACGATGTTCTGGAAGCCGGAGGTAAACTTGTTAGTCCTTATCAGGGTGGGGGGCGTGTCACTGGTGGGGATACGGTTGACAAAGGACGGAACCGTTGCTCCGCTCTTTCTCTGGAAATAAAAACGTGATGAACTGAGGTCACTGTGAAGTCTTGAATCATTTGATTAGTGCAGATGCAGATGCAAGTTGGCAGGAAAAAAGACAACTTTGTGGTTGAGCAGTTAATGTCATTATTAGAGACCCAGAGAGAAGACAAATAAAGCTCTGTAGCAACAGTTAACTCTGCTGATGCATCTTTGTGTTTCCTTTTCCAAATGAACACTCCGTCCTTCTCAGCCTGCAAGCTGAACGAACAGACGCCTTTCAGTACCCTCGAGACAGCCCGAGCTTCTGTGATGTCTCTGTTGAACCTCTGTCGATAAATGAATGTTTTAACTACTTTAGAGATACATCCTCTATAGAACGATCATCTGCAGAGCTCAGGCACAGTCATCCACTGTACAGGCTTTGAATGTGCTACTCTTTGGTAAATGGACTTGAGCTTGTATAGCTCGTTTCTAGTCTTCTGATAGTCAAGAGAGCTTTTACACCGCAGGTCACACCTACACATTCACACACTGATGGTAGAGGCCGCTGAGTAAAGAGTCCATCAGTATTAACTCATCCATTCACACACTGATGGTAGAGGCTGCTGAGTAAAGAGTCCATCAGTATTAACTCATCCATTAACACACTGATGGTAGAGGCTGCTGTGTAAAGAGTCCATCAGTATTAACTCATCCATTAACACACTGATGGTAGAGGCTGCTGAGTAAAGAGTCCATCAGTATTAACTCATCCATTAACACACTGATGGTAGAGGCTGCTGAGTAAAGAGTCCATCAGTATTAACTCATCCATTAACACACTGATGGTAGAGGCTGCTGTGTAAAGAGTCCATCAGTATTAACTCATCCATTAACACACTGATGGTAGAGGCCGCTGAGTAAAGAGTCCATCAGTATTAACTCATCCATTCATACACATTAACACACTGATGGTAGAGGCTGCTGAGTAAAGAGTCCATCAGTATTAACTCATCCATTCACACACTGATGGTAGAGGCTGCTGTGTAAAGAGTCCATCAGTATTAACTCATCCATTTACACACTGATGGTAGAGGCTGCTGAGTAAAGAGTCCATCAGTATTAACTCATCCATTAACACACTGATGGTAGAGGCGCTGAGTAAGAGTCCATCAGTATTAACTCATCCATTAACACACTGATGGTAGAGGCTGCTGAGTAAAGAGTCCATCAGTATTAACTCATCCATTAACACACTGATGGTAGAGGCTGCTGAGTAAAGAGTCCATCAGTATTAACTCATCCATTAACACACTGATGGTAGAGGCTGCTGAGTAAAGAGTCCATCAGTATTAACTCATCCATTCATACACATTCATATCCCGCCGACGAAGCAGCGGGAGCAACTTAGGGGTTAAGTGTCTTGCTTAAAGAGACATCAGACATGTGGCTGCAGGAGCTGGGGATCGAACCCCCGACCTTCTGATTGAGAGACGACTCTACGCAGACCAACTTTTTCTACAAAAACTAGTTCTGTCAATCAATTAGAAAAAATGCATCTAATTCATTACAGGCTTTGTTATTACTTAATTCAAACTGAATCACATTTATTGATAGTATAAGAAGTGTTGTGTTACAGGTGGATTTTGTTTTTGGGCTACTTTTGCCTTTACTGAAAAGGTCAGCTGAGAGAGAGGAAACGGCGAGAGGGGAGAGCAGGGGACGACTTGAAGCAAAGGGCTGAGGTCAGAACTGAACCTAAGGCTTCTACAATAAGAACTACAGCCTCTCTACACGGGGTAGGCGACATTACCGTGAGGCCATCCCGGCGCCCCTTACAGGCAGGAGTACTTGGTTGGTTACATTGAGCTTCCACATTTTAAATTTGATTCTAATAATTGTACTTTCTCTTTAAGGCCATGTGTAAATGCTTTGTGTGTGTTTGATGGTGCTGTGTGAGCAGGATACATCCTCGATGCTCCCGATGTTCAAGCAACTTCTGAGAAAATGTAACAATAAATGTATCACAAAAAGTAAAAGGAGTTTCCTCACCGATCCTTCCTCCAGGGCCCGCCGCAGCGTGGGAATATCATCGACAGGACACCAGACCTCAGCGATCAGACACTTGTTGGTGACATCCAAACTACACAAGTTCAGAATATAGTAGATGGCCTTCATCTTCTTGACCTGGATGACCCAGGTGTAGACGGTTTCTGAGGCCTTCATCAGGACCTGTCTCAGGTAGTCCTCGGTCCTGTGAAGAACCTGGACGGACACACAGGGGGAGATAAAACAGGAGTGTAAGTCTTTATACAAAAGGTGGAATGTTAAAGAATGATTTAGGGTCGTTTCACACTTGGATCCGAGTACGCTTGACCCCAAAGTCCGGTTCATTTGACCAGTGTGAACACTATCTTACTGTTATTGTACCGTACTTGGGTACCGTGTATTAAAAGATGGTAAAGGTTTACATAAATTGTCTTTTTTTATCGTTTATATAGAAAGTTAAAAGAAGAATGTGTGACTTTTTGATCCAGTAGTTGTCGCCCTTGAGCACCAACATGAAACCAAAACAAACTGCTGTCCTTTGCGCGAGCTGCAGTTGCCTGTGTCCTGCATTGTTGTGTTAGCATGCTGATGTTAGCACACTTTAGTTAGCTCGTAGCTTCATATTGCATTTAAATTGCCACTGCATGACCGTGATCTAAAATAAGTTTAGTTGACATCCAAATAAGCAGTGAGTATGTTCTTCTTCTTTTCTCTAGTCCTTGCAGGACCGTCCCGTCCATGTAAACATGATGTAAACACGACTCTGACAAAAACACAGCCGGCCGCTTCTCACTCACTGTCGACAGTCATGACTCAGAGAAACATTTACAGAGGATATACTGGATAATGTTGCACATTGTTCCTTTAAAAAAAAAAAGGAAGAGAGATTTGTACGCATTTTAAATTGAATGTGCGAGAGAATAAGATCCAGAAAAAAAAGAAACAGTCAAGAAAAGGGAGGGAATGAAAAAAGCATTGTGCATTAAAGGAAGAGAAGAAACAAAACAGTTCAACTCTCAGCTGAGGCCTCATGTGCATCATGTGCTCCAGGACGTGAGTGTAATTCTGTTTCTCAGTCACAGCGAGTTAAAGCCACCAAATCATTCACAGTGAAACACAGACTTAACAGTCCCTCGACCTGCCAGGACCGGCTCACAGAAAGGCACAATCTGGGTTAATCGTTGGGAAAATAAGTCAACCATTTGATTTGGTTCTGGAGTTCTTTGACCATGAAAGGCCGGTTGAGAGCAGAAATCATCGGGGGATGTTGTTTTCTTCACTGGCTAGAAGATACTAGGCGAGCTTTTGTTGGAAAATGTTAACTAACCCTTTATTACCTAAACACCTGGAGAGCTCAATTTAATACCCTAATGTTGAAACAGGGAGATGACTACATTACAAAAACTTAGCACGTGTATTTGTCTAATTTCTCATTTAAAATGTCTCATTACACTTATGTAGCATTATGTAAGATATCTACTGAATTAGATGATAAAGGTATCTTACTATCTGATCAGACATTAAGGAAACATGCTATGTTGAAGTGCTGGCTTCTCTGACAACAATGCAGCAGCCAGTATGTCCTCCTTCTAACTTTACATTCTGCTCCTGAATGCTCTGGATTTGTTTGGACCAGAGAAGGTAGGTGCTTTTAAGACACACCCCCACACGGCCGTTTTGGACGCCCCTCGGTTTGCCAGATATGAGAGCAGTTATCAGGTCAACAGGTGTTGCAGCGATGGAAGCGGGTCAAGAGAAGTGGTTCAGATAGAAGTGATTGTACCCGACCTAAAAAGCCTCTGCATGTTTCTAATAAGCTCCACGAGCAGAAACGTGCTCAAACTAGGATCAATATTGGAGATGCTTTTGAAAAATGGAGAGAGGTTAGAACACAGAAAGGTTTACAGACCCATGCAGAGCTGGATAAACACTGAAGCTTCAGAGTCCACTAGGGGTGCAGAAATGCAAAATTTTCTCTAATTGATGACTCTTCCCATTGTTAAAGTGAGTACTTGAGTAATCGTTTTGTAGTTCTTTTTTTTTTCTGTGATTCTTTTCCCTCACGGGAGGCCCCGCCCCCAACTATGACGCAATGCCGACTGTGTCTATTGATTAATTTGAATCTTTGAGATTTTAATAATTGTTAGTAAGATGCCTTTGTATTAACATTCAAATATGACATTTCTTACTTCAACAGACAGCAAACCTCAAATAAAACTTCACACAGACGTGTTATGAGCGTTTTAACACTTTATTATAATTAGAGCAGTGAGTGTGGCGAGCGGACGTGCAGACATCAGTGAGCACTCATCGCACGTTGAAGCAGCAACATTGTGTTAACAAAGACTACAGTCTGCAGTGTAGAGCACACTTTACTCTGGGAAATGAAGTTACAATAGAACAGGTGAATGATTTAAGTGTCTGTTTCATCTTTCTCCTCTGTGCGTCATGACACACTCACTCAATCTCGCTCGTCCGTCCGCTATGAGCTATTTCTCCCTATAAGGTTGTTCCAATTTGTAGTTATTAAAAGAATAATCATCTAAAATTCCAAAATATAGGAAAACATGTAGTTATGCTGCTCTGTCCTGGATGATCAAACGTCATTGGTTTAGAGGGGTAAAGCGGTAATCGCAAAGTGAAAGTCCTTCGTTTTCTGTGGACTAAAAAGACAATTTGAACTGAACTTTCGTAGATATTGCATATTTTATTTGTTTGGGACTTTTTGTTCATTGTGAATTCATAGGGGGGTTAATTAAAAGGGATATTTTTGTTAGGGTAGCAGCGTACGGATCAACAACGGATGCGTTTCAGCACAGAGCCTTTATCAGCGCTTTGTTTGTCATCTATTTTCTTTTTGCGCTCGTGCTCTCTACAATGTTTTGAATTTGGACTGCAGTACCCATTTTAAAAACTATGTGTTAGAGTTAAATATTGTCCCTTTAACAGACATTAAAATAAAAATAAAAATAGCCAACCTTGTCGCTGATATAGAGGCATCAGTATTCATTCAGACTGTTTTGAAAACCAGACAAAAACTTCTCCCCACAGAAACTTTTAATAAACAGACTTACTGTGTGCAGGTCCTGAATGCGAGTTCTAAGTCCTTCCACAACATCATTCCTCTCCTCGTTGCTGCTGGGATATGGGTACAAGTGACAGTGATAGCTGCGGAGAACCAAATAAGTTATTCACACACACAACCAAGGCAAGAAAGAAAGAACACTTGTTACACATATATATCAACTCTTTGTTCTGCAGTCTTATTAAAAAAGAACTGTGGAATAATTACCAGTCACAGATCTTCTTCACTTTCTGGCCAATTTGATCTCCCCAGTAAGAGATTAGAAACACCACCTTTTTGGTTGGCTCATTCTGCAGGAAGGATGCAAGAAAAAGTCAATGATGAGACCAAAATAAATAACAAAGACAAGTGTTTCACATGGTTTCAAGTGATGCATCAAAAACTGGACACACCTTAAAGATGACCTGCAAATCTTTAAGGTCACATATTATGCAAAATACAATAAGCCAATCATCTCAATCTTTTGCCTGCTCCACTTTTCAGAAAATGTCTGCTCAAACAGGCCGTTTGGAGAGTCTCCCTTTGTGACATCACAAAGGGCAGTAGCCCCTCCCCCAGGTGGGTGACAATCCCACAGCTAGGTGTTTGTTCTGCCCTCTGAGTCTGCCTTCTCACCGTAAACAATAGGACATGGAGCGAGAAAGCCTCGAGTACACCCAAGACCTTCCAGAGAGGGGGCGTGGTCAGACACAGCTCATTTACATATTTAAAGGTACAGACACAGAAACAGTCTGTTCTGAGCAGGGCTGAAATAGAGGGGTTTATAGACATGATCAAATACAGGATCAGAGTGGATTTAGAACAAGAAACTTCACACACATGTTTTAGGGAGCTCTGAGACTTATTTAAACTGATGAAGAGGAGGAGAATATGTGACCTTTAAAATCAACTGTATTTGAGGGTGAAAGTTAGTCAGTGTCATATAAACTCTGCCAGTAAATTTTCTTGATTTTCCGAGTATGAAATGACTGACATTCCCTAAGTGATCAGTCGCAGCCCTGCATGCCTGCCCTCTGGTCGAGCAGAGGAAATGGATAAGTGGATTAGCGCTGTCATTCAGTGTGAATGGATAAGATCACAGCACTCATGGGAACAGCAGGTTTCTAAATTTTTCTTTCCTCTTTTTTGAAAAGTTAACAAATACTCTTTTATACGTTGGCCTGTGATCTGTTTCAGGGAAGTGACCAAGCTTGTTTTGGTGAGATGAACACCATGCAGCATGTATAAATAACAAAGTGAGTTCATTTTATCTGTGACGCCAAACTGCTTTGACTATTATGACTGTCTTTCCATTTGTTATTATTAGTTTTTGGATAGCTGACAATATACAAAATACACAATGTGGTACACAACATTACAGAGGACAAAGGAAAATAGTTGCATTTCCTTCCTTTGTCCTCAGTTGTTTGTTTTTTTTATATTAAGAACTAAGTGCAACTATTGGTATCCAAAGCTGAACAAAAACATCTTTCTGTAGACGCAGAATTCACTTTTTTTATTCTAAAGAAACCTGAACATCACCGTGAGCGGAACTAATTAAACTAAATGTTTAAAATTAAACAGTGTAGTAATAACATTCATACATGGATTTGATCCATTTGTATTATTTGCACAGTGATGTCCAGTTTTTGAGTTACATAAAGGTTGGACTTATGTGCATCTGCATTTGTGATCTTATTTAAGGAAATACGGCTCTAACATCAGTCCCAGTAAAGTCAGAAAATAAGATGAACATTATTAATCCCCGAGGAGGGAGACTCATTTTCACTCTGTTGTTGAGACATGCCACACACGCGCCCACACGCAGGAACAGGATCTTATGAACATGCATTAATAGAGAGAGCACCTCTTTAGTGCTCAGGAAGCAAACTGGCACCTCTCCAGAGACTTGCTTGATTACTGTTATTTTTTCCGTAATGGGTCTTGAACCGGTTACCAACTCAAGTCCCTACAGACTGAGCTACTCCCCCCATGTGCAAACACAAGCGTAGGTCTGATCTCCTCACAAACTTTCTTGAATGAGACTCAGAGTGAGTTATCAGAGTTGGTTAACAGTCAAATTAATCAAATTATCAAATTTAAATCGATTATGTTTTCCTCTTGTTGCACAGAGGTTGGATCCTACAGAGACGATAATTCAACTGAGGAAGTAAGATACAGACAATAAGTCATTCATGCTCGAGTCTCTCCCGCCTTCTCTGATGATAGAAGACATAACGAAAGTAATAATGAAAGTAATGTGACTGTAAGGGAGCACTCACATTAGTCCAACCAACTAGACTGTGGGGGTCAAACGTGTGCTTGTGCACGGTACAGATTGCCTAGTGTAAGTTCACCCTGACACAAACTTAAGAAAAAGATCATCTCTGAGAAACGTACTGTGCTGGGATCTTCCAGATACTCCTCCACCTCCGCATAGCTGAGTATCGTGTAGCCTTTACAAACTCTCCAAAGCATCCGCTCGAAGGCCTCGATCTTCGTCCTCTTGATGAGCCCCGAAATGAAACTGCAAGAGATCAAGAAGAATCATTTAAACCAGCATGAAATCACAACACGAGAAGAGGAGGTCACCAAGCCAGGGTTGTCAACAGTTTTATGTTTATTTTGAGGCTTTTTATGTTTTTATTGTAGAGACAGGAAAGTGGATAGAGTCAGAAATCAGAGAGAGAGAGAGAGAGAGAGAGAGAGAGAGAGGAGAATGAGATGCAGGAAAGAAGCCAAAAGTCGGATTGGAATCCGGACCACCCGCCTGGAGGACTATAGCCTCTGCACATGGGGCACTCACAATAACCACTAGGCTACCAGGGCCCCGGGTTGTCAACATTTTTTTTATACATTTTCAGTACCACCTGTTTTAAAACAATTCTATTTCAGATTTTTTAAATTATCAATAGTATTAAATTGAACCTAATATTAAAAAATTGTCAGTTCTTACGTCACATTTTTAACCAAAAGTTTCCAACAGCAGGAGAGAGATTGTTGGTGTCCCATTCACATTCACAGGTCAGCATAAAATATGTTGATGTCTCTTACAAACAGCAAGAGAGTAGAGGAGGGGACACTGTCTGCATTGTGCACTTACATTGGCAACTCATTTAGACAGTGAGCAGGAGGTTGTTAAATAAACAAAAAAAATAAAACCAATATTGGGTGTCTTTCTGTTTCTCTTGTGTTGTCGTGATTTCAAAACATGCATCAACATTACCATCATTTTTATTTTTAAAAGTATCATATTGAAGTTTTTAAATTCTGATAGCATGACCGCCCTTCACTAAACCTTTGATTTCCCTCTCTAATTTCAAAGCATCACTTGAATGACATCATGATACAACTCTCTTGACTTGTATTAATGAGCTTTGAGACAGTGTTTACCAAACCATCTGTAATGTTGCTTTTTTTAAATCACATTTACAATTTTAAAAAAGACAACTTCTTCTGGGAAGTCAAAAAAGAAAAGCTTTCATGTGAAATATAATAAAGTGATGTTGTCCTATTAAACTGTTGATTTGATATTCAAACTCTGCAGCTCACAGCTTCAAAATGTTCAAATGATTACCAGTGACAGACGATGGCTTTCATGGAGAAATGTAGTGAGGAGACTCAGTGTTTGCATGTATCGAAGTCGTCACCATTATGAGTGCATGTGAGGAATCTGGTAAGCATCCCAGTGACCATCATGAAGTCTGAAGTCACTTTGTGCTCAGCTGAACAGAAATCAAGCTGCCTGCGGTGGCTCTGATACTGCGACAGGTTCTCTATGCAGTGACGGCAGGAAATGTAAATTTGAGGTTAGCCGTCTTTCCTTTGAACTTTCACTTCACATTCAGTCAACAAAGACTCACATGCGACTTCAGCTCTGTTCCTTCTACAGAGTCTGAATTATTCCCCCACAGACTTTCTGAATATCTGAGGAATTGAAAAGTTAAACAATAAACTTCTGTGTGTGCAAAGTGTTGTTTGGCAAAGAGCCAGAGCTGCAGTGTGTGTGTGTGGGCTGTGAACTCAAAGTGTGTCAGTCAGTGAGGGAAGTGATGGCTGAAAGTGAGACCACAAGACACACAAAAAGATAAAAGATAGAAACAGAAGTGGACAGCTGAAGAGAGAGAGGAAACACTGGGAGTAGAGAGTAGGGGGTGACATGCAGCTAAGGGCCGAGGTCTGACCCCGACACCCACGGCTGCTGCAACAGGAACTATTGCCTCCGTACTAGGGGCCATGCCACAACCGCTAGGCCACCGCCACCCCCTTTTGAATGTCCTTAAAGCAGAAACTGTGCAACCAGTTTACTTTTTTTGTTGCATTCTCTTGTTGCCAATTTTGATGTGTGCTGAAGTGTGTGTAAGGAGACTACTGCATGTAAACATTGCTGTTCCTGCTGCTGCTTTGTTACCTGCACACCTGGTCAACACACACAGCACAAAAAGAGGGAGTCACAGGAGAGCAAGGGCAGGACTTTAGTGGAAGATTCACAGTTTTCTTTAACCATGAGTGAACGTGTGAAGGTGCATCTGGGCTCCTGTTGTGTTCAGTGTTTTGATTCATGCATGCTTCAGTTCAGCCCAACTACGATTCAGTAAGAATAGTCTTAATCAGGACTCCCATCTCTACTCCTTTTGTTCTCTTTGTTTGCAGTCCTCACTTTCTGTACCTTCATTCTTATTTGCTCAGGTCTATTTACAAAGGTGGTAACTTTAATACTTAAGCCAACTGATATTTATATGAAGCTGTGACAGAGCTGTAAGTAGTGTGATCACCTGTCTCTCCGTCTGTCTCTGATGTTTTCTCCTCTGCTTAAGAAACTCATGAGCCTCTTAAAAGTCCTCCTAACACTTTCTCACCTTCTTGAGGGCTGAGATACTTTGTCTTAACCATGATCTAGTCTTCACTTTCAGGGGAAATTCTTCAAAAGCAACACGATTCTAAGAATTTAACTAGAAATGTGTCATCAGGAGCAACTCCTTGTACTTAGTAATCTTTGTGAATACGGCACCTGGTCTTTAGTCGGAGCTTTTTAAGATGATTGAATACTAATAAAGAGTTTAAAAGTATCTCACTGCGTTCCCCCTTTTTTATAACGACCACGAGTTGGAAATGACTTCCACTACACAATAGAAAGATGATGTAACTATTTCACTGTTATAACATTGTGAAAGCTGTAAAACTGGTCAACCATGACAGACTAATAAGGCTTTCAAACTTGCAGAAAACTCCTGAAGAACTCCTGATATTCCCAGGAGGAGCTGTATGTGTGAACACAAACAGACACATTTTCACTTCTGGAGTTTCTCCAGCCAGACCCCAAGTAGTTTTGATCTGATGTGAGAACACAGCAGGATATTCTCTGGAGAATTCAGCTTGAGCCAATAGGAGAGGGAGTGACGTTTATATATATTATTATTGCTGCACGTTGCATAGAATGTATGTAGTAAGCAGGTAGTATCACTGCAGACTCCTCACACCCCGGACACAAACTTTTCAAACTCCTCCCCTCTGGCAGGCGTTACAGATCACTGTACGCAAAAACAACCCGTCATAAGAACACTTTCTTCTTCCCAGGCTGTCACTCTGATGAACGCTAAACAGTCACAGAGTGTCAGACCTGTCGCGGTGAAATAACTCTAAACCATCACTGTGAATATACATATCTGTATATATATATTATTTAATTTAAATGATAATATACGCACACTTATTTATGTAAATACTGTAATTGACCCATCCGTCACATAACTGCATTTTTACTTATCGTGTTACTTCATCTTTTGCACTATTCACCACTGCACTGTTTCATATTTAATCATGTAAATATTAGTCTTTTCTTATTAAGCTTATTGTTGATATTTAATGTTGTACCTGTACATGAGAGCAGAGTTCACTGAAGTTAAATTCCTTGTGTGTGTGTGTAAGCAAACCTGGACAATAAATCTGACTCTGATTCTGAAATGATCTAGATATTTTGAGGAGTGCATGTGTGAAGACGGCTTTAATAGTGTCTGTCGTCAACTCTAGATTACATGTAACTCTGTTTTGATAAGAGCTAACATGGCAAGCAAAAAAACTTCATCCCTCACCCCAGTTTGGCGCCGAGCCTCTGCATGCTGCTGTAGTCCATCATCGTGTCTTTTTCTAGGAAGGGAAACTCCTCGTACTGTACTTGGAGAGGCTCTCGCTAAAATGAAAGACAGAATACAGAAGAAGGTAAAGAAGAAAAATCAAGAAGCTAAGAACATATTCTATTGTAAAACGTTTGCACTTACCTCGGCCGGCCTCTGTACAAAGTTGCGTGTGATGCGCAGCATGTGTGTGTACTCAGTCAGCTCCAGCAGATTCCTCTGCAGCTTCTCTTTATTCCTGGTGACTTCTCCTAACTCCACTTCAAGCCTCTGCAGCTGCTCCTGTGAACACACACACAGACATCCAGCGATATAATAAGCATACTAAATCGATTACTATAAGGCTATAACATTTTAAAAAAAACATCTAAAAAATGTTCAGACTAAAGCAGGTTGATGATTCATGTTTCTACAGAGAGAAAATACTCCAATAAATTACATTCATTGAACGCGCGCAGTATGTAAATTTGGCCACCAGGGCGGCTTTCAATCAAAACAATTGAAATCCATCCCAGACGAAAACTGAACTCCCAGTGGACCGTAGTCAAGACGAACGGACGAAACAGATCCGAGGAAGAGAAGACATTTACAGACGAGCTAATGTATCCGAGAATAATTTACATGACGGTTTTATCACAGCAGCACAAACAGCAACAGTCCAGCAGCATTTCCCGCTTTATGCAGCGGGCTTCCATGTTACACCCGTTGTTTCCATGGCAACAATAAACATGTCGTTTTCTGTCATTGCAGTGGCCACCACACACATACGGGGCGTTACAACTATAAAACGAAGGATTTCTCTGGCTCATTTAAGTACTCAAGAGCAAGATAGGTTTTAGTCCATTTTTAATTCCATCCATAATCTATTATCTTTACCGCTTTTCCCGTTCAGGGTCGCGGGGGGGGGGGGCTGGATTGGGGCGAGAGGCAGGGTACACCCTGGACTCAATCACAGGGCTGACATATAGAGACAGATAACCAGCCACACTCACAATCACACCGACGGGCAATTCAGAGTCACTAATTAACCCAACGAGCATGTCTTTGTCTTTGGACTGTGGGAGGAAGCCGGAGTACGGGGGAGAACATGTAAACTCCACACAGAGAGGCTCCTGTCTGACCAGGATTCAAACCAGGAACCTCCTTGCTGTGAGGCTAACCACTGAACCACCGTGCAGCCCCTCAGTTTTAAACTAATTTAGATATTTTAGTGTGAAAACGTTTACAGATTACACCTTTAAGGCGTAGTGATATAAAGTCGACACAGGTTTAAAGGCTTTACATGTGATTTTTTTGATCCAGCAGATGTCGCCCTTGAGCACCAGCATGAAACCAAAACAACTTGCGCTGCATTGTTGTGTTAGCATGCTAATGCTAGCGATCTTTATTATGCTGGTATCTTCACACTGCATGTAAATTTACCTGAAATGAGCGTGATCTAGAAACACAGTTAAGCAGTGAGTACAGTATGTTATTCTTCTTTTCTCTAGTCCCTCAATTAAACAACTTTTATACACGAGGGGAGGAGTCAGCCGGCCGTCCCGGCGATGTAAACAAAGTGAAGATAGGACTCTGAAAACTCTGAAAACATCACAGACAGTGGGACTCGGGTGTTACACCCATTGTAGACAGTCATGACTCACAGAGTTATTTTCAGAGGATATACTTGATTTATATTATATTATAGTGTGAAAAATCACATAGAAAGACTTTAAAGAAACTGTCCAGGTAAACCAGCATCAACATACAACATGAAACACATGATAGATAATGACGTTACTAACCATTATAGTCATGACATGCTTTGGTAAAGGAGCCACAGGGTTCACGTCTCCCTCAGGCAGAGAGATGTCGGCTTTCTTCACTTCCCTCAGAATGTATCCTGATTTTAAAAAAAAAGGTGTCATCATTTAAAAAGCATTATAAGCAGTTTTTAAAATAAGTCTAAAAGTTTCTAAGAACAGTGAGCAGCAGGCTTTCAGCGGTGTGTTATTCTCCTCTCTTAATCTAATAATAAAAAACTAAGCTAAAACTTCAGTTAACTAAGCGTGGCATTTGACTTTAACTAAATCTACAACCAGCTGACATTTCTAATGACTTTATGTTCAGGGGTTTTCAATTCAGTGAAGTGAGATCACCGGCTCTGCTTTAATGTGCCCCAGTCGAAGCTTTATCTTCATCCTGTCAGAGACTAGAAGAATTGCAATGAATTGAACTTCCTGTCCAAAGTTTTTCTTTATCTAGAGCTCGATAAAAACAAATGCATGAAGCCTTACGGGGAAGCAGTACAGCAAAGTTAAAAACATTTTCCTGGGAGCTGCTGAGCTCTCGTAGGTTCCTCTGGATTGTTGGTGGGGACGGCCTGCTGCTATGGAGCGCCCCCCGCCCCCCTCCCTGCCCCTGTTTGTCCCTATCCTTCTTCCAGCATCTCCCTCTATATTCCATTCATGAGTCTTAAAAGGAAGTGTTTTCCTCTCCTCTGTAACTTTGCTAAATGTTGCTTGGCGCTCATGATGGATTAACGTTGGGTCTTTGTAACATAACGAGTAAGGTCATCTATCTGCTCTTTGGTCAAATGTATTGAGAAAACATTTGTTATGAATTTGCTCTATACGAATAAAGATTGATTGATTGGTCGACTTCCTTACCGAGGATCCGCTCCATTTCTTCACATTTTTTGATCTCGTTGACGTGTTTCCGTTGGAAAGCGTTCACAGTGGGATTGAGCTGAAAGAAGTGGAACAAACATTTTCAGTCAAGACTTGAAAAGATAAACAATCCACGCCCAACTCATCAGCAAGCCAACGAAACAAACATCTACTGGACAGTAGTGAGGACAGACTGAAGTCATGATTCATCGCATATTGGAGGGTTTCCCCATAACTTAAAGGTTTATCTCTGACAGCGGCAGCTCGTCTGTATTGTTTGGTCTTCATCTTGACATCGATGGGGTTCCGGTCAGAAGTCCAGGGTGAAGTTTCCACAGTCAGTGGTCGGGGGTGCCATGTCATCTGCTAGTGTTTCGTTTGATCCAGCGAGGAGGTCCACCAGGAGATTTTAGAGCATTTCATGCTTTCGTCTGCTGACGAGCTTCGATGCTGATTCCCAGTACCAGTAACTGGTTTGCTGAGCGTGGTATTACTGGGTTTGATCGCTAACACGCTTAACAACAGAGAGAATCTATGAGGTAGTGTCAAGAGGAAGATGAGAGACGAGCTGAAGGATGCTATCAAAGCAAACCTGGGCTTCCATCACACCTTGGCGCTGCCACAGGCTGATTGCCTCCACGCCACATTGATGCAGTAGTTCAGGGGTGGGCAACTGGCGGCCCGGGGGCCACATGCGGCCCCCATCTACCCTCAACGTGGCCCTCAGGTCAATTTTTACATATCATCATTGGAAACATGAAGAAAACATGATGAAATCTGCCATGAAATCATGAAAAAACAGAAATATGACCATAATAACATTAGATCAGTGGTATATGTTGAGTTCAATTTGAGACATAATTGACTGTAATCGTTTCTCTAAACTACAATTTGGCCCCCTGGCAGTGAGAATTAAATGAATGTGGCCCCTTGCTGTGACTGAAGTTGCCCGTCCCTGCACTAGTTCATGCAAAAGGAGCCCCGACATTGCCGTGTTATAAGTCATGAGACACTGGATTTTTGATTTTCATGAGCTGTAAGTCGTATTTATCAAGATTAAAACAACGGGGCTTTACATATTTCTCTTTAGGACAGATTTAAAAATACTTTTTTACCTGCTGCAATTGCACTTTACCCTTACACTATAACGACTCCCCTTTAAGTAAGGACAGAAGACATTTAAACTTTAGCTTGAGCTGCATATTTGCACTGCTTTTCTTTTTTATAATAATTCTTTATTTCTCTATCATACTATGCTCTGGCAGAGCTACAGTATTTTGTATTGTTATCTATGAGTAACAGCTACTTAAGCACATGGACCATCCATACCACTTATTTATCCTGGCTATGTGGGCTCATGTTTTTATTGTATGGGTGGAATATGTACGTGTATATATATATATGTTATATATATATATATATGTTGTGTTGTGTTGTGTTGTGTGTGTGTGTTGTGTTGTGTTGTGTGTGTGTGTTTGTGTGTGTTGTGTTGTGTTGTGTGTTTGTGTGTGTTGTGTTGTGTGTGTGTGTGTTTGTGTGTGTGTGTGTGTTTGTGTGTGTTGTGTGTTGTGTTGTGTTGTGGTGGTGTTGTGTGTGTGTGGTGTGTGTGTGTTTGTGTGTGTTGTGTTGTGTTGTGTTGTGTTGTGTGTGTGTGTTTGTGTGTGTTTGTGTGTGTTGTGTGTGTGTGTGTTGTGTTGTGTTGTGTGTGTGTTTGGTGTGTTGTGTTGTGTGTGTGTGTTGTGTGTGTGTGTGTTGTGTTGTGTGTGTTGTGTGTGTGTTGTGTTGTGTGGTTGTGTGTGTTGTTGTGTGTGTTGTGTTGTGTGTGTTGTGTGTGTGTGTGTGTTGTGTTGTGTTGTTGTGTGTGTTGTGTGTGTTGTGTTGTGTTTTGTGTTGTGTTGTGTTGTGTTGTGTGTGTGTGTTGTTGTGTTGTGTTGTGTTGTGTGTGTGTGTTGTGTTGTGTGTTGTGTTGTGTGTGTGTGTTGTGTTGTGTGTGTGTGTTGTGTGTTGTGTTGTGTGTGTGTGTGTGTGTGTGTTGTGTGTTGTGTTGTGTGTGTGTGTTTGTTGTTGTGTGTGTGTGTTGTGTTGTGTTGTGTTGTGTGTTGTGTTGTGTGTGTGTGTGTGTTTTGTTGTGTGTGTTGTGTGTGTGTGTGTGTGTGGTGTGTTGTGTTGTGTTGTGTGTGTGTGTTGTGTGTTGTGTGTGTGTGTGTGTGTGTGTGTGTGTTGTTGTGTTGTGTGTGTTGTGTTGTTGTGTGTGTGTGTTGTGTGTTGTGTTGTGTTGTTTGTTGTGTGTGTGTGTGTGTTGTGTTGTGTTGTGTGTGTGTGTTGTGTTGTGTTGTGTGTGTGTGTTGTGTGTTGTGTTGTGTGTGTGTGTGTGTGTGTGTGTTGTGTGTGTTTGTGTGTGTTTGTGTTGTGTTGTGTGTGTGTGTTGTGTTGTGTTGTGTGTGTGTGTGTTGTTGTGTGTTGTGTTGTGTGTGTGTGTTGTGTTTGTGTGTGTGTGTGTGTTGTGTGTTGTGTGTGTTGTGTGTATGCTGGTTGCTGGATCACATACATTTCCCTGCTGGATGAATAAAGTTATCTTCTATGTGTTATGAATCTGGGATATATGAATTAAATTCTACTTTTTTTTAGATGCACCTGTAAGAGACAAATTGCCAAATCTAACTTCAATGACAAGTAAAAGTCTGAGAGTCAGAGAAGCTTTATGGTTTGTAGATAAGATGTTAATCAGTGTTTTTGCAGTAAGTGAGACGTGAGTGTGTTTCAAAGAGGTTTGTTACAGCCGATGTGTTTCTGGACTTACGTCTCTGAACTCCACGAGTCCCAGCTCCCCGAGTTCACTGATGCAGTCGTATGAGGATCCAGACTGCAGGAACAGCTGGGCCAAACACATCTCCTCCCCTCTGAGCAGAGAGCTCATGTTGACAGATCTGATATCTGACCACGGGCTAACCTTAGCAAGCTAACTGCTGCGTTCACAGTCCAGTTTGATAAAAGCACGTCAAGGACAGTCAGAGAAGTCTCTTTTAGTGCCTCCCATGTTTCGGCTCAGGTGATAACATCATAATTGATTTGCATAACGAACACTTCAGGTAGCTGTCCTTACAACGGAGGCTGTTCCTGTTAGCTCGGAGGCTAACCGGTAAGAGCCGTGCTGTTAGATGTTAGGATGAAAAACTTCTGTCGTCCGAGTCAAACCGGAAACTGTTCGCCATTAAAGTGTTAAAACGGATCCAACAGCTTATCCAAAGGTGAAGCTCCGACTCTTCTCACTCCACGTAAAGTTTTTGCAGACGTCCGCTGCGATGTCCACAGAGCTACACGTCACTTCACTTCACACTGTTGAATACGAGCAACTTCCACGGCAGTGAAAGTACCGTCGACCAATGAACAGCGGCTCCAGGAGTCTGCGCAGTAGCACTTGCAGGGAATTTGGTACCTTTAAACCCTCAGCGTTGCCTGAAGGCGGTTGGAAACAGGCATACCGGTACACACACAATAAACTTCATTTAATCAAGTACAAACCGAGTTTTATCTGCCTGCACGACCTTTATGTTAGACAAATTCTTATCGGTTATCTTAATGAAAGAGAAAAGGCCCAGGGGAGGTGTAAAACACTATGTACTACAGCAACTACCTAGCATATATATATATATATATATATATATGTGTTGCCTGGGTTCTTATGATGGTTCTTGTGATGGTTCTTATGATGGTTCTTGTGATGGTTCTTGTGATGGTTCTTGTGATGGTTCTTATGATGGTTCTTATGATGGTTCTTGTGATGGTTCTTGTGATGGTTCTTATGATGGTTCTTGTGATGGTTCTTGTGATGGTTCTTGTGATGGTTCTTATGATGGTTCTTGTGATGGTTCTTGTGTTGCCTGGGTTCTTATGATGGTTCTTGTGATGGTTCTTATGATGGTTCTTGTGATGGTTCTTGTGATGGTTTTGTGATGGTTCTTATGATGGTTCTTGTGATGGTTCTTGTGTTGCCTGGTTTTATTGATGATGGTTCTTGTGATGGTTCTTATGATGGTTCTTGTGATGGTTCTTGTGATGGTTCTTGTGATGGTTCTTGTGATGGTTCTTGTGATGGTTCTCATGATGGTTGGGTTATATATGTCTGTTTGGTATCGTGCACTTTGGGTTCTTTTCTGTTGAATTGTATTTAATTATTTTTAGTATTTTGCATTTGTTATGTTCTTGTTTTTGTTTATGTTCTTCTGTGTTTGGTTTAGTTTGTTTGTTTTTGTTTATGTTCTTCTGTGTTTGGTTTAGTTTGTTTGTTTTTGTTTATGTTCTTCTGTGTTTGGTTTAGTTTGTTTGTTTTTGTTTATGTTCTTCTGTGTTTGGTTTAGTTTGTTCTTTGTTTTTGTTATGTTCTTCTGTGTTTGTTTAGTTTGTTCTTGTTTTTGTTA